ATCAGCACATGGGCACGTGTGGTGTTTGTTAATTGGCGTTTGTATGAATATAAGATTATAAATTGTCGACAGTTCACGAGTTTTATAGCCACCCCTTGTATAAATGACTTGAAACCTTTGATATTAACATGATTATTACAGCACGACCAACCACTCATATAACTTGCAGGAAATTGAAGCTCGAACTATTTTAGCCCACTTGCGAAAAATAGGAACCACCTATGGCCTACATTAATTATTTATGATGGCATAATATTTACACTGTACTGAAAGTATATATTTGAATATAGGTAGTTTGAAACTAATTAATACGCGTTTGTATTTTACTTTTTAAAATTTAACAACACTGTGGTGAAATCAATTCTCAAGAATTTTCAAAAACCAATCAACGCATAATTCATGTCGTTTGCATAACATGAATATTAATGGTGAGAAGGGGAAAAAATATATTTAAGCGGATAAAATTAAAAAATTATAAAATCGAATTCGCCGACGTGGCTGTGACGACGTGATCAAAAGAAAAACATTAAGTATAATAATATAACGAGGAAAGTTTAACGTTTAAAATCAACATGAATGGCGATATTAATTTTTTCGACTTCAACCTAGGAGAAAATGTCTACAGTGTGTTATTATTTTGTTGATTAATGATAAGTTATTGTTGCAATAAGTATGGTAATATTACATAACTGATGTGGAATAAAAATAAAAGAAAAAATGGCGTTTAATCGTATAATAGATACATTGTTATTTGGAACATAATATTACATCGTGACACGCAGGTGGTTCAACTCACGCTTCCGCAACTTACTTGTTCATAAAACGCAAAATGGAGTAGAACTAAATAAAAAAAAAATGTGGGGTGAACCTTAGACAGCGGAGGTACGATGACGGATCTCACATCGTTGGCCATTCACTCAACAGCGTGTGTGGTTAGGTACTTCAGACTCTCTGTAGATTAAAATCGTACTCGCTCATATAAATTATTAAAAATAAAATAGTAATAATCGTCGTAACTTCGAACCATCTACTATTTTCTCACATAGTGGTGTACAATTTTATGTTATGCTTTTGACACTATGGACGCTAATTATTTTCTCATCTCGGCTTTAGTGACTCTGGAAAAAAATAAATATTCTCATAACACTAATAGTATATAATGCTGGTTTGAAATATTACTGTTTGAATCCATTAAAGGTACATACATATTGGTAAGTAATATTATATGAACCATCTCTATTTTGTTCCCGGTGAAACTTCAATGTCCATCATGTTCTACATGTATAATGCTCCTAGCTAATTAAAATTAAATATTACAAATTGAGATTTATAACCGGGTACGAAGAACCAAGTTCACGGACATTTCGATGTGTGTTTTTGTACGGACACACGGTCTACACGATAAGTTGGTGTCGTGATAAAGACGAAAACTTAATATATTATGAATTTAATTGTATGTAAAAAATTGCGTAATTATAGATACAAATACCGCGGTTGCCTATTCATATTGTAAACAAATGCATATTTAAATATTATGATAGGTGATAACTGATAGCTAGTGTGGGTATCTATGTTACTTTTGAAAACATGTAGGTAATTAGGTTACGTTAAGTACTCGTTCCTTATATAAGTTATAATTAAAAGTAATAAAGGTACTTTATTCGTTCCTTAAATAACATTGTAATAAAGCACTTTACGTGTTACTCAAATAGTCAAATAAATTAAGATATCAAAAAGAAAAAAAAATACATTTCAAGAAGAGTTAATTAAATAAAGTACAGATCAAGTAATTATAACGTTTTCCAAAACATTGAAATTGAATTGTGACGCTGAACTGCAGTATAACGCGTTACTTTCGATATTACGTTACTATAATAAAGTCAATAAATCTAAAGGAGACAACACGAAATTTGCTGGAAAACGGGAAGAAAATAGGATTAATTATAAATGAGGATAAGACAAAATATATGGTAGTAACTAGGAATAACCATAGAGGGGGATACCTGGATACTGGGGAATATAAGTTCGAAATAGTAGATGATTTTAAATACCTAGGAGTGGACATCAACAAGGATGCAAATAGCCACGAGGAAATAAAGATTAGATTAGCAGCGGCAAACAGATGTTATTTTGGATTGGTCCCTCTATTTAAATCAAAGATATTATCATGGAAGACAAAAATAACCCTTTATAAAGTACTAGTAAGACCTATAGCTTTGTATGCATGTGGGACGTGGGCCACTACAAAATCGGATGAACTAAAATTGGCCACCTTCGAGCGGAAGATATTAAGGAGAATCTATGGTCCAAAAAAAAATAACGAAGGAGAATACAAAATAAGAACAAATCAGGAGATCCAAGACCTGTACGGAGAACCGAATATTAACGGAATTTTAAAAAGTAGTAGGCTGAGCTGGGCCGGTCACGTGTGGAGATCGGAGGGGCCAATTGGACAGGCTACGAAATGGAAGCCAAATACAAAAAGGCCTAGAGGACGTCCTCGACAAAGATGGAAGGATAGAGTGGTCAAGGACTTGAGGGAACTTGGAATAGAGGATGGGGAAGAGCTGGCAAGAGACCGAGACAGGTGGAGGCAAGTGGTTGTTGCGGCAATGGGCCTGAATGGCCTGTAAACGCCTAAGAAGAAGAAGAAGAATAAAGTCAATCAATGGTAATATGTAATAGTAAATATTCATGTTTTGATGACATAATAAACAGTATTGCTTCAAAATTTAAATTAGACACATTATAATATTATACCGGTTAAATATGAACCAAATTACATTGTATTTTAAATAATTTCACTATAATCGCTACGATTTTTAAACTTTAGAGATATTGTTTTTTTATTTCATATTTGAAAAACAAAATTATTTTTAAAAAAATTTATGTTATAGTACATAATATATAAATTAATACGTCTATTGAAGAATTCAGATTTTTTGAATTAAAATTAACATTTTAAGAATATAGATGAATATAGTAGTGATGGATAAACAATATACTACCATGTTTTTTTATGTGCAATCTTTATTCGTTATACACATAATTAGAATAAAATAATTCGGGAGTTTAGTTCATTCAAACGACATTTTTAATTCACATTGAGCTAATGTAGTAACGTTCATTAATAAGATTGATGAAATATTGAAATAAAAGTTACTCGAATTCGCATTAACGAATTCATATAAATGTAAATATAAAATATAAGCGTAGGTAGTAAATATCTGCATTTCCGGAACCAAAAACAAATATCAGACAGGTAGTCCCGTTGGGCTTAGCATGAACAGATGATCTAATAATCACAGAGTGTTGAAGTGCATTGTGGGTACTCTATAAGAGTTAGAAGTGATTTATAAAAGTAAGTGATTTGTAAAAGACATATTTTATTGGTCACCTTTTGATGTTATGTTTTATTTTTCTTGTACATTATACTTTTTGGAACTAGTGAAATGATTTTGTCGTCTGCAGCCAGATATGACCGAATAAACAATTTCACAATGAAAATTTTACTGTACCTGCAAAAATGGTGAACAATCTATTATATGATACATGACGTGTTCATTTTAAATTTAAACGGTTATTGTGTTTTATTGTACTTCGAATTCGTGTTGAAGTTTTACTTTTATTTTTCACCGTTGACGGAATTTTTGTAATTACCACGATAATACAATACAACCATTTAAAAACGATTTAATCTCTTCTAATAATTTAAATTAAATATGAGTGATAAAATCATACAATTATTTTGATGGATAAAAAAAAACATTCGGCGTAATACCAAACGCATTTCTTAAGATAAATTGGCAACGAAATAAATATAGTAGACTCTTACGCCCATCATATACGATAAAATGTGATGAAATGTTTTATACGCTACGAGTATAAAACCCTCTCATAATATTATAATAGAAGAGATCGTCACGGAAAAACAAGACAAATAATAATATTTGACAGTTTAAAACATGTTGGCAAAGAAGCGCATGGTGTTATGCGAAATAAATCGACTAAAAAATAAAAATATAATAAGTCACGTTTAAATTTGAAATAGACGAATGCCAATAAATATCGAAATTATTAATATTAATATACCCAAAGTATGAGTATGTGCACACAAGACATGTGAGAGTAAAGTTATGTATATAAACATATTTTATATTTTAAAAGAATGACAATAATTATATGACTAGTATTATATTTTTATTACCCAACTCATAACGGATCCAATCATTTTTTTACGTTGGACGTTTGACATACAGAGCTGCATTATTATAGCTTTAATATATTAGCATACATTATACGTATTTAAAAATGTAATGTTTTCAAAAAATGAAAATGAGATATTCCCGACAACACAAGTAAAAAGTGTTTAGAGTATCTTTGAGGCATTGCTCACAATCATAAGCATATAATGTAATATGTGTATATAATATATATAATATTATAATCTTGTTGTACCATAAATGTATAGATTGTATGATTAAAAAACAAAAAAAGGAATGTTATACGACAATATAAAAACACAATTTTATTAGTTGTATACTTATTTTATTCGTCTAGTTAAAAATTGAGGGAGTTGTAAATTATGTTAGAAAGTTTTTACCTAATGTAGCACAAATAAATGCTCCATTAAGAGAGTTAATAAAAAAAGATGCTGTATTTGAATGGACAAAGCTGCATAGTGACGTTTTAGATAAAATAAAATAAATATTAATCAGTGAGCCAGTTTTACAATACTATGATAGCAAACTATCTTTAAGATTATCAGTTGATGCTTCAAAGGACGATTTAGGTGCGGTACTATTACAAAACAATTTATCAATTATTTATGCATCAAAATCTTTAACCAATACTCAAAAAAAATATGCTCAAATTGAGAAGGAAGCTCTAGGTATTGCATTTGGGTTTGATAGGTTTCATCAGTACATCTTCGGTAGAAAAGTTTAAGTAGAAACTGACCATCGCCCATTAGAATCCATATTCAAAAAACCACTAGTATTATGCCCTCTGAGATTACAACGGATTTTAATAAACCTACAACACTACAACATTATGAATTAGTAGTAAAATATAAACCTGGTAAAGAACTATGCATAGCTGATACATTAAGTAGAATAGAATCAAAAGGTGATACTATATTTGACGACTGGGAGAAAAGAGAGGTTGAAATAAACATTGAGGAAGTGAACAAGTATAAAATATCAATAAGTGAAAATAAACGTGATCAATTCAAGTTGGCTACAGAATCAGATAAAGAACTGAATATGTTAAAAAATTATGTCATTAAAGTTTGGCCAGAAAAAAAGAGAACAATTAAATGAAGAAGATAAAAAGTTTTGGGATTCTAAAGAATTAATAACAGTACACGATGGTGTACTGTATAAATCAAATAGGATAATTGTACCAGAAAGTTTAAGAAATTAAATGTTGAAAAAGATTGGATAAGATCCATTGTAGGTTTTTTCTTGTGTGATGAAATCAAATCATTGGCAATTATTTCTACCCATTCAATTTTTAAAAATGTTTCCCAATACTTGAAATCTTCGCTTTCGAATTATTTGAGATGCAGCCAAAGAATTTATACTGTCTATTATGCCGAGTGCTGAGAAGTAAGTGAAGCAGGACGTTTTCCTTCAAACTCAGCAGTATCAACTTTCCATGAATATTTAATATTTATACGTTTTGTATTCAGTTAATCCGCAGAATGTCGATAAAATGTAATTTAAGTACGACGATTGTATAAAAACATTTCTATTACCTCTCTTATTTTTTGCTCTCTTGTTACATTAAATTATTTTATTTTGAATTTGTTTTATGTAACAAAACTAATTTAACGTACGGGAAATTTAGAATGTGTTTGGTCTTCATTTTTATTGCACAATTTACACATTGGGTAAGGCTTTCGTCTTATAAAATATTCAATACGCTAACTCATTATTTTTGTATTTCCATCGAGTTCAAAGTAAGTGTTAACATAAACATCTTTGAATTCCTCTTTTCAATACTTTCCGACTCTAATTGGATATTTTATGTAAACATATTATTATTTAGTTGAAAATATTTTTGTTATAAACTTTAATCAACTATGATAATATACATCGTCATAGCTATATTTTAATGACTGCAACAAATGGAAGAAAATTAAAATGTGAATAATAATATACATTGGCAAATATAGGCATGTAAAATTAAAATATGGCCCAAGCTAGTCGCCATGATGGCATTATATATGCATGGCTTGAAAGTGTTTACGCATAAATTTGAAATAAATACAGTGAACGGTTGCAAAAATTATTGCACGAAATGTAAAATAATTTAACAACTTGCGGTGAAATGAAGTTGGCACTAAAACAGACGAATGTTTGTTTTCGGTGAAAACTGTTTCGGCCATTTTTCGCTGTTTTTCGAATTTTCCGTGCGTCACAAATCACAATATAAAATATATGGTTGTGTATACTTCTTATAGCGCCGGACAAGCGAGCTCACGGCCCCCGCTAAAACGTCATCGCCTATATTTACAGTCGTTATACTTATATTTAATACATATATTTATATATACGTACGTACGCGTATGTATTTATTGCAAAGTAAACCAAAAGCGTCCCAACGGCTTAACTGGGTGCACCGACTTTTCAGCATAGGTGTACACGATTCTTTAATAATTGTAACCAATTTGTCGGAGAAAAAATCTATGGTTTACTATATTTTCATAACATATTTGAGTCAATTATCGCATACGCAGACTCAAACACATATGAAATAGAAACGATGTTAACTGTTGAAAATACTATTGCATGAAATTTGAAATAATTTAATGAAGTAAAATGAAGTCTTCACGAAAACAGACCAATCGGTGAAAACCGTTTCGACCATTTTTCGCCGTTTTTCTATTTGTTTTTGACAAATTACAGTATAAGATATATACCTAGAGCTGTGTATTTTTTCTATTCTAGCGTCATCATATTTATTTACAGTCGTTGTATACTTATATTTAACACATATCGCTGTAGGCGTATATGCATTGAATGCAAAGTAACAAAAATCATTTTCATAACATATTTTCGTCAGATATATCGCTCACGTAGACTCGAACACATATCAAAAATTGAAATGATCCTTCGAACAAAGTGCTAGGGGTTGATGTCGAGGGGTTTTAACGGCACCATACAATATAATAATATGTTGATAATATCAACTTGATATACATATGTTATTATACACATGTGGCACGTCTGGGGATGTAATATCCCCCCAACTCCGCCGTTTTTCGTTTAACAGTTCGCATAGGTATCTACTATATTTTAACTGTGACATTTTACTTCCTTTCCGTATATTATTATAATATTATCCAATTCCACACAAGTCGTCAGGCGCGTTTATATACTTGACGTGTCGACGAACTCCAATGTCGATCGACCGAATCTCGGAGATTGCCGATAACATTATACTGTTATTAAAGGAATAGAAAATAATAATGTGTGGAATAATGTTGGTCGAATACAATTACAGAAATGGTAGTCGGGTCCCCTGCGTCTTATCCGATCTCGAAACATACTCTGTGGTCGTGTCCGTCTATGTTTTTCCTTCGATGAATATAATTACAGTTCAACGGGGTACATTTTGAAAAAAAATATATTATATTTATTAGCTTTTAGTGTGGTAGTTATATTGTAGCTCGAACGAGGTATAGTTATAACCATTATTGTTGCACATCATTATAACATATGCAGTAGATAGTATCGTCGTAATCAGCCATTACCACCGACTGTATATATATAACTGTTGTCAACCGTTTTATGTTAAAACCTGCATGGTGGTGTATGACTTTCGGGGCTCTGTACTATAGCCGTAGATCATCAGGTACCTATCTGTTAAACGAAATAAACCTAACGGTGAATTCGATTGAAATCTGCGGACGGAGTGGAATAACAGTTATTTGGTTTTCCTAGAAAAATGAAGTTTGCTTACACAATATATAAGCTTCCAACATCAAATTACGATGATGAACCATTTATAAATAAAACGATATGGTCACTAAAATTGTTCACCCATCAGATCAAAGTTGTTCGTACACAACTAACCACACTGCACAATTTGTTGTGCCATTGATTTCCATAAGTCTTATGAAGAATGTATAATATTACATTTTGTCTCTGCAGCTTACTTGTAACATTGAGAAAAAGTCACTTAGTAACTCCCACGACATTTATACAACTTTATATACATTTATATATATATATATATATATATATATATACATACATATACTTACGATAACATTAACAATAGCATTATTAATGGACAACAATCATTAATTTTAACTTTATTTGTATTGTGGATTTATTTCTATTTTGTTACATTACATCGTCGTTAAATAAAATAATACAAGAGTTTAAAATAATAAGAACATCTTATACTTTTGTTTCCACTTCTTTTAAAATTAATAATTGAAAGTATTCACGACAAATGAAATATTTAGATAAAATAATAAATTATTACGTAAGTTCGTATCAAAGCATTCGCGTACAGTGTTCAACTATAATATCGGTTCTAGCTGTTTTTACATTTAAATTATGAATTTAGTTACCTAATGTGAAATGTATAAGGTGTCATAAGATCGTAACCATTGTAACAGACTACGATATTTCGATATGAGGTGTAGAACTTATCTTTCATTAGGAAACGTCATATCAACAAAAAGGTAATAATATGTTTAAGGTTTTCATGAATACTATTCGATGAAGAATAAAACGTGTGCCTATACGAGCTTACACATAAGTCATCGTCAAGCATAAAATGAAAAGCGTTGTTTTATTTTCAAGTATACGTAGAAACCAGACAATAATGAAACAAATCCGTGTCTCAAGTGAATTAATAATAGTAGTATATATGTACCAGTCCTGGCGCACCTCATAATATATCAGTAAAAGATCACAAAGAAAACAATGTGCAAAAAGATCAGAAAATTGAAATGCAATAATAATAAAAAAATTTTTCACAAAACTTATGAAATGCAATAATAATAAAAATATTTTCCACAAAACTTAATTATTAAAAATAAAAATCGAAATGCAATAATAATAAAAACATTTTTCGCAAAACTTATTAAATACATTTTCACCCCAAAATATTTTTCATAATACTTATGATATTAATAATTAAAATCGAAATGTAATAATAATTAAAATATTTTTAAAGAAATTGAATACCTTAGTTAAAGGAATTGATATTTATAATAAAAGAATGGAATCTATAAACAATCATAATGAGTTACAAGAAACCGAAATGCAAAACGAAGTAGAAAACTATATATTAAATAAAAAAATAAAAAAATGTTATGTGAAATTTTGTGCTTTTATATATTATAAAAATAATGAAATTATTAAATATAATCTAAATGAAATTCCGATTGAAGGAAATATTTTAATTGTTGGAAGCGATATTTATGGAAAAGGAAAACCTTATGCTTCTAAAATACTAGAATCGCCAACATGGCTTGAAATTTGTAAAATAGCTAATGATTTAATAAATACAACTGGCAGTTATAAATGCAAATATCTCCATGATATTTTTGTTGTTCAAGATTTAGTAAATATTAAAATATGTTGTCTTACAATTAAACCATTCGATTATTAAATGTTTTTAATTAGAAAACTATTCTTCAATTTGAAGAATTGATCTATTAAAAAAATGTTCAATATTTAACGCGTGTCCCATTCGGACACGCGTTATTAAAATCCAAAAATCTTTAAAAACGATTTTACACTATGATACTATGAGGGGGACTTATAAAGAATTAAAATCAAAAATGTTTAATGTAAAAATGAAGATTCTAACATAAATAGCAACGGAGTTATACTTAAATGAAAAATATGAAGCGGGGGGTAAACTTTTAATATGTAGTGTAGATAAGCATATAAAACATATCTGTGTTGTTCCGACTTGATAATATCAAATATTAAATGAAATATAGGACATATACGATCGCGTTATTTTTTAATATTTTTAATAGAAATATGGAAAAAAATGCAAAAAATCTACAAAATCATTCCCAGCTTTGCAGATACCCGTTAGGAAAAAAGGAGGCCGGAACTCTTTTACAGATATCTGCAAAGCTATCGTGGGCAGTGAAGTTACCCAAGCGCTTTATCCAGCAGGACAACGACAGTTTTTCAGTAGATTGCATAGGTGTGTGCACCCACCTATACAATCTACCGTAAACGTCTTCAAAGCCTGATGAAATTAGTAGGTGAACATGGGCGCCACACGTTCTCCCACTAGTTTCAATCCGACCAAGAACACATTTTAAATCAAACGCGTT